GATTCGAACCCGCCACCTTAGGTGTACGTGGCTGGCGCCTTAGCCGGTTGAGCTATAGGCGCCGAGCCAAACCACTCTGTCTTAATCTACGTTTTCAATATATTCAAACACTAGAAATGCAACACTAGTTCTGTTCCCTTTCAGCCATGTTATGAACTTAGGGGACTCTCCTAGACTAGCTGAAGAATCTAACCATCATTTATTGTATCATTTCTGTAAGTGAAATAAAATCTGTGTTCCAAACAAATGACTTACAAATGAGCTCTGAACAAAATCTATTCCCTATTTGAGAACTGTTCATAATTTCCACCCCACATGCCTCATGGGAAATAACAAAGACTTTAAAAAGTGAAAATCTATTAAATGGAGATACAGTGATAAAATCATATTAGCGCTCACTGGCAATCATGGTCACTACCGTCTAACTAGATATTCTAACATATTGTCAAAGCTTTTCTCTGAAGAAAAAAATAAAAATTTTAACATAAATCATAAAACCACTCCTAAAATATTCAATCACAGGATGCTACCTCTTTCTTAAGAGGAAAAGGTACAGAAATGAAGGCTACTATAATTTACCACTGCTAAACTATTCTGCTTAGCCATTTCACGGTATTTAAGTTAGGGCAATAAAATGCTGACTTTCATTTTAAACTCAGAATTTGCCTTTATTTTCCCCCAGAATCCCACTTACAATTCATGCTTTCTTCTTAAATGTTTTTTAAATGCAAATGTAGTTGGAATAAACCGATTATGAGATATGTCTCTCTAAAATCTGGTATTTACAAACCAATCCTCAGCATGTCTTAGTTAATAATAAAGCTGTCTGTGAGTGGATATATGAGCTGCTGTTGATTATGTGCTATTTTCTTAGCTCTGAATTAAGGAATAAATCCAAGAGCAAAGTAACAGTGTTCACTGTCCGTATCCTTCATTTCCAGATATTACAGAGCCCTGCAACAATTTTGATGAATAGGCCAAAGAAGGAGCTACAACCCATCTAACTTACTATCCGGGTCTTCAAGAGGAATATCATTACAAGAGTCTGTATCTGAGTAAGTTCTCCAGCGTCGCTGGGAGAGTCGGTGAAGTGCAGACACTGGTTCTTTCACAGGGTGGCAATTCCTACAAATTAAATAAAAAGCATTAAGCAGTAAGGCCTTAAACAAATGAAAACACCTTGAACTCAAATGCAATTTTAAATTTTTCACTTTTAAGTCAGTGGTTCTCAACCTTCCTAATGCCACGGCACTTTAGTACAATTCCTGTGGATCACGACCCACAGGTTGAGAACCACTGCTTTAAGTGAAAAAACAAAAAGAAAACTATTTTTATGCCCAATGTTCTATGTTAGTAACATTCTACTCATTTAGAAGTCAAATCATAAGCAAGTCAACCCATTTAGAATCCAGCTGGTAAACTGAAGAATCTGGCCTCTTTAGCTGAACTAAATGGAAAAGGGGTACAATGCAGAAACAGGGACTTCTACAGGGGAGGGTCCATGGAGACAGCAGACAAATCAGATGATCTACAAATATCTAAAAACTAAAAGTTAAGGATTTCACAAGTGCATGTATCTAAACGCAATCTATATCTGATCAAACCCAGTAGAGTGAAGGGGATAGGCAAGAAATTGAGGTAGCATGCTGAAGGTAGACTCACTGACAGCAAGATACAATAAAGATGGGAAATAGGATGCTCGAAAACTACTCTTTAAAAATCAGCAAGAGCCAGTAATGGTGACTCACACCTATAACCCTAGCACTCCATGAGGCCAGAACCCGTAGACTGCCTGAGGTCAGGAATTCCAGACCAGTCTGATAAAGAGTGAGACCCCAGTCTCTAAAAACTAGCCAGGTATTATCTGGGCGCCATCAGTCAGGCCAGGCACAGTGGCTCATGCCTGTAATCCTAGTACTCTGGGAGGCCAAGGTAGATGGATCCCTAGAGGTCAGGAGTTTATGACCAGCCAGAGCAAGAGTGAAACTCCATCTCTACTAAAAACAGAAAAATTAGCCAGGCGTCGTGGTAGATGCCTATAGTCCCAGGTATTTGGAGGCTGAGGCAAGAGAATATCTTGAGCCCAAGAGTTTGAGGTTGCTATGAGCTATGATGACACCATGGCACTCTACCCAGGGTGATAGAATGAGACTCTGTCTTTAAAAAAAAAAAGTCGCTTTTTTGTCTGGGCCGCCGACATGCCATCCAGACTGAAGAAGACTCGGAAGCTTCGGGGCCACGTGAGCCACGGCCACGGCCATATTGGCAAGCACAGGAAGCACCCAGGAGGCCGAGGTAATGCTGGTGGTATGCATCATCACAGGATCAACTTCAACAAATATCACCCAGGTTACTTTGGGAAAGTTGGTATGAGACATTACCATTTAAAGAGGAACCAGAGTTATTGCCCAACTGTCAACCTTGATAAATTGTGGACATTAGTCAGTGAGCAGACACAGGTAAATGCTGCCAAAAACAAGACAGGAGTTGCTCCCATCATTGATGTAGTACAATCAGGCTAGTACAAAGTTCTGGGGAAGGGAAAACTCCCAAAGCAGCCAGTCATTGTGAAGGCCAAATTCTTCAGCAGAAGAGCTGAAGAAAAGATTAAGGGTGTTGGAGGGGCTTGTGTCCTGGTGGCTTGAAGCCACATGGAGGGGAGGTTCATTAAATGCTATTTCCTTGTG